GGAACACAGCAGCTTCCGGGGAACACGGTAGCTTCTGGGGAACACAGCAGCTTCTGGGGGAACACAGCAATTTCTGGGGGAACGCAGCAGCGTCTGGGGAACACAGTCGCGTCTGGGGAACACAGCAGCTTCTGGGGAACACAGCAGCTTCTGGGGAAAACGGTCGAGATTCTCATTACTAAAAACTTACTGGTCGATCCCACTTCCCCTTCCATGACCCAACACATCTCCTCAACGGTGAACTGTCGTGACGACAGAAAGTTGAGCGGTTGTTTTTGGTCCTAGTTGGAGTTGATTTGATTCTGCTGGTCCTCGCCGTACGCTGCTTTGGGCCTGAGAGGTGCGTATATTCTCCAAGGATTGCGCTCTCACAGTTAATATGCCACGTCAGCTTGCCTGGTCCAAAAACAAGTGTTTCCCAAGAATTAAGTTCGATATCCAGGGATTTGAGTCAGGCTTTTTAGACAGTCCTTACTTAAAGCGTTGTTTTTGTCCCTGCACACCAGCTGAGCGTTCCCCCCCCCCCAGAGAGAGTTCACAGAAGATTAATTATTTAGGAAGTCTGCAGTCTGGCATTCTCGCAACATAGTCTGCCCATCTGTAGGACCTCCGTATCAGGGACTCTGTCCTGCCAACATATGCCAAGTGTATCAGGGACTCTGTCCTGCCAGATTATGCCAAGTCTTATGCCAAGTGTATCAGGTACTCTGTGCTGCCACCTTATGCCAAGTATATCAAGGACTATGTCCTGTCACTATGTCCTGTCAAGTATATCAGGGACTCTGTCCTGCCACCTTATGCCAAGTGTATCAGGGACTCTGTCCTGCCAGATTATGCCAAGTATATCAGGGACTCTGTCCTGCCACCTTATGCCAAGTGTATCAGGGACTCTGTGCTGCCACCTTATGCCAAGTATATCAAGGACTATGTCCTGTCACTATGTCCTGTCAAGTATATCAGGGACTCTGTCCTGCCACCTTATGCCAAGTATATCAGGGACTCTGTCCTGCCAGATTATGCCAAGTATATCAGGGACTCTGTCCTGCCACCTTATGCCAAGTGTATCAGGGACTCTGTCCTGCCAGATTATGCCAAGTATATCAGGGACTCGGTCCTGCCAGATTATGCCAAGTATATCAGGGACTCTGTTCTGCCACCTTATGCCAAGTGTATCAGGGACTCTGTCCTGCCACCTTATGCCAAGAAGATAGCGTAGACGGCGTAGGTGGAGTTTTAATGGTCCCGCATGTCTGCTGCACACTGTCCACGTCTCGCTAGGAATGATGTTAAATACGATTGTCCTACATAATGAGGGGACTGAGACCCCTTCCCTCCTAGACATTCTCATTAGCACTAATGCAGGCCTGCATAACTCAAAATGTAAGGCGGGCCGTAATACTTTATGAAAAACTTGTGCGGGCCAAAAGAAAATAGGACAAGACTTCTGCTGGCCAAAAGAATATAGGTAAGGGGGGGGGAGCTATGTTGTGCAGGCCTGCGCTAATGCCATGGTGGAACATGTTTCTAAAATACAATCAGCAAAAGTCAATACCTGCTGTGGCAACCTAGAGTATGCAACAGATATTTTTTTTAACCAAAGTAAATCTACCAATGGCCATTTCACTCCCGCCACTGGTTAGCCACACAGACGCTTCGATGCCAGCCACACAGACGAATTGATGCTACCCACACAGACGAATTGATGCCATCAACACAGACGAATTGATGCTAGCTACACATACGATTCGATACTAGCCACACAGATAATCGACGCCAGCTACACAGACGATTCCATGCTAGCCACACAGACGATTCGATACTAACCACACAGACGGCTCGATACTAGCCACACAGACGATTCGATACTAGCCACACAGACAAATCGATCTGATCAATGTGATAGCTTCAGCCCGTTCCAACATTAGATAAGGTTACCCTCCCCTGTCTCCCCCAGCTCCCCTGCTACACAGCAATCCACACTAATCTCCCCTCTCCCGCCTTTACAAGAACATCGCCTTTTCATTGACGTCTACACCCCCACGCGCCTGTGCATCGACACTCTACACTCCCCTTGTCTCCGTATCAACATTCTACACTCCCCTTGTCTCCGTATCAACATTCTACACTCCCCTTGTCTCCGTATCAACATTCTACACTCCCCTTTTCTCCGTATCAACATTCTACACTCCCCTTTTCTCCGTATCAACATTCTACACTCCCCTTCTCTCCATATCAACATTCTACACTCCCCTTCTCTCCATATCAACATTCTACATTCCCCTTGTCTCCGTATCAACATTTTCCAGTTAATTCTTCTCTCAAGCAAAATCCCCCCCCCCCCCCATACACACACATACCACAAACCTCATTCCACGTCACTAAATTATCCAACCTGCAATTTTCCAATCTCGAAAAAAAAAATTCACTCAGTGAAACCAAGTAAAGGGAAATAGAATTAAAGGGAAATAATTAGGTAACCATGCTGTATTGATTTATTCCCTTGTTTACTATCACGTTTCTTCAAGGGTGCATTTGCAGTGGTGTCCCTTGACTGGTCGCTTGAGTCCGTATTGTGACTCACGGATGGTATTAACGTCACGGGTGGTAGTAACGTCATAAATGATTGTACCATCATGGATGTTAGTAGCCTCCTGGATGGCAGTGACGTCATAGATTGAGGCAACGTCATGGACAGAAGTAATGTCAAGGTTGGTTGAACGTCATGATTGGTAGTAACGTCATAGATGGTAGTAACTTCAATGATGGTAGCAAAGTCATGGATGGTAATAACGTCATTAGTGAGGTCTTACCACGTCCATTGTGTCACTTACTCACACATACACACACTCACACATGCACACACTCCCACATACACCTACATATGGTTTCAGACAGGCATGACGTGGTGACATGGTGACAGGAAGGCGTGGCAGAGTGACAGAGGGGCAAGACATGTTGACATGACACGGTGTCATAGTGACTTCACATGGTGACTTAGTGACATAACATGAGGGCACGGAGGCATGACAGGGTGACAAAGAGTCATGACGTGATGATAGGGAGACATAGATGCATGACGTGACATGGGCATGGTGACATGTCTTTTTGACAGAGTGACACAACGCGGTGACTGGGTCACAGAATGACAGGTGGCCTGACACATCCAGCTAGCGCCTCCGTCATTCACTAAACAAAATGTTGTTGATTTTAGGATGGCGCCAGGTTCCGTCATACCGCCTTATGGCTGTGCCTACCCCCCCCCCACACACACACACACACCTTTTGCTGACAACCAGAGGTCCAGCAGTTGGATTGATAGAGTGGAACAGATACCACCCGACGTTGAAACACTAACTTGCAACCTATGGGAGGCCTGACACCTCCAGCTAGCGCCTCCGTCATTCACTAAACAAAATGTTGTTGATTTTAGGATGGCGCCAGGTTCCGTCATACCGCCTTATGGCTGTGCCTACCCCCCCCCCCACACACACACACACACCTTTTGCTGACAACCAGAGGTCCAGAAGTTGGATTGATAGATTGGAACAGATACCACCCGACGTTGAAACACTATCTTGCAACCTATGGGGTCGTGTTGATATGATCAGATCCTAATGATAGAGCTGATCTAAATGACGTCATGCCACACTTGAAATAAGGGCCATCAAGGACACGTTGGTGGGTGAGGGAGATGACGTGGATTGTTAATAGTGCGACACCGACACGTGACATTCCGCTTACATAACTTAACCAAGAGAACGGATTCAATCATAAGATAGTTATGTAGGGCATCTTAGCTCTAATGATTGCGGAGGTCTTAGTAAGTTCTCAGTACGTTCTTAGTAAGTTTGAGTTAGTTCTTAGTAAGTTCTCAGTACGTTCTTAGTAAGTTTGAGTTAGTTCTTAGTAAGTTCTCAGTAAGTTCTTAGTAAGTTTGAGTTAGTTCTTAGTAAGTTCTCAGTAAGTTCTTAGTAAGTTTGAGTTAGTTCTTAGTAAGTTCTCAGTAAGTTCTTAGTAAGTTTGAGTTAGTTCTTAGTAAGTTCTCAGTAAGTTCTTAGTAAGTTTGAGTTAGTTCTTAGTAAGTTCTCAGTAAGTTCTTAGTAAGTTTGAGTTAGTTCTTAGTAAGTTCTCAGTAAGTTCTCAGTAAGTTTGAGTTAGTTCTTAGTAAGTTCTCAGTAAGTTCTTAGTAAGTTTGAGTTAGTTCTTAGTAAGTTCTCAGTAAGTTCTTAGTAAGTTTGAGTTAGTTCTTAGTAAGTTTGAGTTAGTTCTTAGTAAGTTCTCAGTAAGTTCTTAGTACGTTCTCAGTAAGTTATCAGTAAGTTCTCAGTAAGTTCTTAGTAAGTTTGAGTAAGTTCTTAGTAAGTTTGAGTTAGTTCTTAGTAAGTTCTCAGTAAGTTCTTAGTACGTTCTCAGTAAGTTATCAGTAAGTTCTCAGTACGTTCTTAGTAAGTTTGAGTAAGTTCTTAGTAAGTTCTCAGTAAGTTCTCAGTAAGTTCTCAGTAAGTTCTCAGTAAGTTCTCAGTAAGTTCTTACTAAGTGTGAGTAAGTTCTTAGCAAGTTCTCAGTATGTTCTCAGTAAGTTTGAGTAAGTTCCTAGTAAGTTCTCAGTAAGTTCTCAGTAAGTTCTCAGTAATTTCTTAGTAAGTTCTCAGTAAGTTCTCAGTAACTTCTTAGTAAGTTCTCAGTAAGTTCTTAGTAAGTTCTTGGTTAGTTCTTAGTAAGTTCTTGGTAAGTTCTTAGTATGTTCTTGTTAAGTTCATTGTAAGTTCTTGGTAAGTTCTTAGTAAGTTCTTATTAATTTATGGTATGTTCTTATTAAGTTCTTAGTAAGTTCATTGTAAGTCTTAGTAATTTAATGGTATGTTCTTAGTAACTTCTTTGTAAGTTCTTATTATTTTCTTGGTAAGTTCTTGGTAAGTTCTCAGTAAGTAAGTTCTCAGTAAGTAAGTTCTCAGTAAGTAAGTTCTTACCTCTATCACTATGGGAAGGTACGTTCTCACACTGCTTTTGTTGATGTCATAGCCGAGCGTGGACCAATCAGCGTGGTACACGCAGCAGTTGTCGTCATTCCGCTGTGGCTTCTGTCGGCTGACGTCCAACTTTTCAGACTTGAGATACAAGCGTCTGGGAAACAGGATGTGGATATCACAGGATGTTGCTATCACAGGATGTGCATGTTACTGGGTTTAGATAATACAGTACTGGGATCTCACAAGATACTGGTTTCACATGACATGGATATCACAGTATGCGGATATCACAATACCAGGATATCACAAGATATGTGTGTCACATGACATGGGTATCACAGTACACGGAGATAACATGATTGTCAAATCAAACATAGCTATGGCAAATCCTGGATAGCCCAAAGATTTTGAAATCACAGGAAGTCACATAGTATGAACTTCACACTGAAAAATATATATCTCTGCAGGAGATGGATAGTACACGGTATGGATACAAAAATGATGGAAATCACAAAACATGGAATTCCGTTAGGACCATGCAGGGCCGGCGCTAGGGGGATGTTTTCGGGGCCCCGCGCGTTGCCGTAGTATATTTATAATATACCCGAGCCTACTAATAGTTCCTAATCCAGTCAACACAATTTTCGGAGTTATTAGACAGTCAAATGGTCTGAAGGTCAGTCTGGCTCCATACTATCCCTTGGTCAGCCTGGCTGCCATACTATCCCTTGGTCAGCCAGGCTCCCCTACTATCCCTTGGTCAGCCTGGCTGCCATACTATCCCTTGGTCAGCCTGGCTCCCCTACTATCCCTTGGTCAGTCTGGCTCCCATACTATCCCTTGGTCAGCCTGGCTCCCATACTATCCCTTGGTCAGTCTGGCTCCCATACTATCCCTTCGAGACGACTATAACGTGTCTTAATATCCTATCGGCGGAATATATAACTTCAACGGCCCAGCAAAATTCAAAGCCCCGCACCCTCCTAGCGCCGGCCCTGGGACCATGGGAAACTTCGATATCGAGACCCTCAAAATACATGAATATTGATCACATGACTTTCAGAGGGAACAAGAAGGATATAGTGACGTCATCAATTGATTCAATTCATGCGGTTTCTAGTCATGGTTTTGTGATTAATCATTGTAATAGGATTAATAACTTTCTTATGAGCTGGATTGATAGAATCTATAAAGATCTACGAAGACTAGAATTGGTGTCTGGCGTTACCAGTTACATGTTGCATTTATTCATAAGTGCATTGCCTCCATGATATGTTCCATCCAATTTATTTGATTATGTCAATGCTGTAACACAACGGGTGAACTTCTCAACCAACTCAACAGTTACTTCCAAACGTGATGAATTAATGTCATTAATCCAAGAACTGTTTGAATGTCTCATGACCAGCCTTGATGCCCATAAGACGTGGTCCTTGTCTCTGTCCAGCCTTGATGCCCATAAGACGTGGTCCTTGTCTCTGTCCAGCCTTGATGCCCATAAGACGTGGTCCTTGTCTCTGTCCAGCCTTGATGCCCATAAGACGTGGTCCTTGTCTCTGTCCAGCCTTGATGCCCATAAGACGTGGTCCTTGTCTCTGTCCAGCTCAAACACGGACTTATTTTAGTTTCATCCTGAGCCATGTTTGTTATCAGAACCACCAAGCCCCCCCCACCCACATTTTTTAACAAATACCTCAAGCCCCCCCCCCCTTTGTCTATGACGTGCATCCAACTAGCCTTTAAAAGCCCCCCCCCTCCCTCCAACCCCGCTAAAACACTTTTCCTCTCTCCCTCCGTGGATGGTGCAAGCCATCCTATCACTCCGCTTGATTTGATCAGACTTGGAACCGCATGATTTTAAGCCATGTATGTTCGAGGCTACGGAATTATGTCACGTGATTCAAAAAACGGAAGTGATTAGGTTCCATCTATCCAATGACATAAATAAAGGATCGTAAATATCGCCATGACAGCAGCGTCAGGGAGTCGGATTTAAGAAATTCAATCAATTTGATATTGCAGAAAACTTTGATTTAAGAACAACCGGTTGCTAAAGATTTATGCCCCCCCCCCCCCGACCCACAAGGCAAACATACAAAGACACAGCCCATGTTTAAATGAGAAGTATACTGATAAGTGTGTGTGTGGGGGGGGGGTTGAGATCACGTGTGAATATTTAGGAGTACACATTTGAGGGTGGGGGGCTCACATTTGAGGTGAAGGGAATGCAGATGTGACAAGTGAGGGATGAGATGGTCAGTACTCTAGTGCAGGCAGTGGCGTAGCTAGGGTAAGTTCCACCCTGAAAAGGCTAAAAAAAAAAAATGTTGCCGCCTACACGAAAAAATCAACAATTTGACGAAAATGCGCCCCCATCCCAATAATTATTTTAAAACTGCCACTTGGAGGGGGGGCCCTCCCCCTCTCGCCCCTGTCCCCGTCAGTGAGTCCATGCCATGCAGTACTACAGTCTGCTACCCAGTGGCGTAGAGAGGGTGTTTGGCGCCCGGGGACAAGATTCGCGCCCGGGGTCAAGATCCATTTTAGCGCCCCTTTTTCTTTTTTTTCAACTCTCAAACCCATTATTTTCATCAATAAAATATTATCAAAGCACATTTTGGCGCCCCTAACTAGCTGGCGCCCCTAACTAGCTGGCGCCCGGGGACTTCTGTCCCCCCCTGCCCCCACCAACGCTACGCCTCTGCTGCTACCGCTGCCTGCCATCAATAATGTAGTCCGCGCCCGGTGGAGTATTTTGGTCTCCCCTGTGATGAGGCGAAGGGTGGCGGTGTCAGAGGTCATTAATTCACCCTCGTGCTACAGATGGGCGTGACGGCCGCAGGGAACCGTGGGAAGGGATTGCGGCGGTGGTTCAAAAAAAAACCCCAGAGAAGTGGAGGAAAAAAAAGCTGACATGTCTAGGAAACAGAACGACGCCTTACTCACCACCAGAGAGTTGACGGTGTCTAGTACAAGGCAAGGCGTCGTGTCAAACGTGTTGGCTAGCGGTTGGTCTCATTGACTGAAATCACGCCGTTGTGTGGACAAGGTTTTTTTTTTTTTTTTTGAATTTGGACGCCTGCTTTGATGGGATTTGGATGCTGGTAAATCCTTAGGAATCGATAGGGCCACCCCCAACCCCCTTCCAGCCCAACCCTAACCAAACACCCCACACCCTACCCCCTAAACCCTATACAACTTTAAAAAAAAAAAGGAAAGGCCAATGATAAACATTACAAGCCTCGAACCCAAATGGTTTCAAGTCATTGTTTCACACCCATACACCATTTATTCCTCCTAAGATATGTCAACATATTATCTTACCATCACATGATCATAACAACCTAGCATTTTAAGAACCCAGAGGTCATTAAATCACCATCGTGCTACAGATTGCTCCCTACATCTTACCATCGCATAATCATAGCCCCCTACCATCTTACATCGCATAGTAACACCCCCCCCCTATCATCTTATAATTATGCATAATCATAAGTGTTGGTCTGTGTTGCTGTTAACTAGAAACGTGCGGTTGTAGAAAAACAGATGCCCCTAATGTTTCCTGTGTGCCTATTTTGTGAGGCATTTCACACTCTTACATAGCCTAACTATCGTCCCGTGCAAGCTTCCGGTAGCCAAACTATCGTCCCGTGCAAGCTTCCGGTAGCCAAAATATCGTCCCGTGCAAACCTCCGGTAACCTAACTATCGCCCCGTGCAAGCCTGCGGTAACCTAACTATCGCCCCGTGCAAGCCTGCGGTAACCAAACTATCGCCCCGTGCAAGCCTGCGGTAACCTAACTATCGCCCCGTGCAAGCCTGCGGTAACCAAACTATCGCCCCGTGCAAGCCTGCGGTAACCTAACTATCGTCCCGTGCAAGCCTGCGGTAACCTAACTCTCGTCCCGTGCAAGCCCCCGATAGCCTAACTAACATCCCGTGCAAGCCTCCGATAGCCTAACTAACGTCCCGTGCAAGCCTCCGATAGCCTAACTAACGTCCCGTGCAAGCCTCCGATAGCCTAACTAACGTCCCGTGCAAGCCCCCGATAGCCTAACTAACATCCCGTGCAAGCCTCCGATAGCCTAACTAACGTCCCGTGCAAGCCCCCGATAGCCTAACTAACGTCCCGTGCAAGCCCCCGATAGCCTAACTAACATCCCGTGCAAGCCCCCGATAGCCTAACTCTCGTCCCGTGCACGCCTGGAAACTTACCGGAAGTAAAACAACCCATTTTCAACCGTGGAGAGTTGTTGCTCAACAGAGTGGGCTATAACTGATCAGCCAACAATGAGACAGCCCAACATTCACCCCGAGGCTAGTTGCTCAACAGAGTGGGCTATAACTAATCAGCCAACAATGAGACAGCCCAACATTCACCCCGAGGCTAGTTGCTCAACAGAGTGGGCTATAACTTATCAGCCAACAATGAGACAGCCCAACATTCACCCCGAGGCTAGTTAATCTTATTTTCGAGTTGCGTGGAGGGGGAAAAAATCCTAAAACAATTGCCTAGATAGGTTTTCGGGAATTTTTAATTTTTTTTTTTTTTTTGCGCGACCCCATATTTGTTGCTTTCGTGGCCCGGTACCGGGCTGGCAACCCGGGCGTTTTGGTAAAGACCGACTTACTGTATTGTCGTGGCCGGCCGCGTGGTGACGAACACCGTGTACTTTGTGTTGACGTTGAGTTTGACGGTGATGTTACTCTCGAACCGGTCGCCGTCCTGCTTCTTGAACACAGGGCCGTCGTTGTCAGTGCGCCGGAGAGAGAGCTGAATGTTGAACTGTCCACCCGTGGTCATTGCTCCGGCCGCCAGGCAGCGTCCTCCTCGAACTGCCCTAGAGTCGGACACGGGGAAAGGTCATAGGCCCCCGGTGTCTGTGTGATGCCGAAATGTCAGCTCGGACACTCGAATGTCCAGTGTGGGGCGAGGTGTCTATCACATTAGATCTAAAGACACAGACAATAGACGGTACTTTAGATCAAAGTTGACAATGGAGTTGACCTAAAGGGAAGATGAGAACAATAATAGAATGAAAGGTAATTGGGAGATGAGAACAATAATAGAATGAAAGGTAATGTGGAGATGAGAACAATAATAGTATGAAAGGTAATGTGGAGATGAGAACAATAATAGTATGAAAGGTAATGT